TAGAGGGATGCAATTCTCCTCTCCTTCATTTTCCTTAATTTACCTTAATTTAAATAGAAAGTAAGTTTAGATTGTATAACATTTTTTTAATGAAAAAAAAAAACCATATTTTTTGGGTTGGCCAACTTTGAATTGAAGTCATTCTAGAAACAAGAAAAAATTTTCAATTGAAGCCGCCTTTAAAATATTGGCCCAACCAAAAGACCAAATTGCAATTTGCCTAAAGAGAAAGGTGATTTTCCGTATAGATTGTATTTTTTCTTATATTTAAATATTAAAATTATCAAAATATTATTAACGAATAAATATAAAAGAAATTTTATTTAAAATATTTTAAGAATTTTAATATTTAAATTAAAAAACGCATATGTATTGAAAAACGTATTTCTATTGCCTAAATCCTTCGATTGTACAAATTATTTTTGCAACTTAGAAGCTTTCAAGACAATGTCTGTGGAGGGTAATTTGGTAAAATTCAAACAAAATTTGATTTAAAAATAAATTATTCTTTCATAAATTTAAAATTTTTATTAATAAAAATTTTAAAGGTACCCTCAAGCTTAAATATTACTTTAAAAAGTTTATTTTTAAATTTGGGTAAATATCAAATTTAATCTTTAACTTTTATCATAAATACTAAATATCATCCTAACATTTTATTTTGATAAAAATGGCCTCTAACCTTTTCAAAATTACCAAATTTACTCCTAAGGCTAGTTATTTTTGTTAATTTTCAAAAGAAAATCTTAACCAAAATTTTGGGAAGTCTAATAGAAATTTTTACATAATATTCTTTTAATTTTCATTGTTCTAAAATTATTTTTACTAAATTTTAAATTCTTTACACACCTTAACTCTCCTTTTTTTCAAAAATGTTGGGGAAATTTTTTTTTTTTACTTTATAGGTAAGGATTTATGTATATGTTACGAGTTAAAATCTTATAATTTGATATGGGTTTTTATTTTATATTTTTTGATGTATTTTATAAAATAATAATTTAAATGATAAATAATTTACAATTAAAAAATATTTGAGTTATGAATTCACTATAATATTAAATTATTAAGTTATGTAAAAAAAATTTAACATTAAAGTAAGGGCTTTGCATTAAGTAAAAGGCTAAAAGAAAATGAAGTATGATTTTTAGAGTTTTTCAAAATAAAAATATAGTTAGTGATGTTAAAAGACAATGAAATATGATTGATACTAAAATTGACTTAGAGGTTTTCTTATATTTAAAGGTTTTGGTGGTTTTTCAAAATTTTAGAAATTTTTATTATAAATTTTTAATAAAAATGACTAATTGTAAGATTAAATTTGATAATTTTTTTAAAAATTAAGATTATTTTTAGTTTAAATAAAAAATTAAGATAATATTTAATATTTATAATACAAAATAAAGATTAAATCTAAAGATTAAAAATAAAGATTAAATCTAATATTTACCCTTTAATTTTTTCTTCAACAATATTTTTAATTTGTAAAAAAAAAAATATTTTTTTAAACAAATGTTCTTAAAGGTCGCGAAACACCTAAATTCCACTAAGAAAAAAAAACCCCACTGCCCATAGATATTTCTCTCAACCAACAAATCAGAACCGTCCACGTGTCCCTCCCGAAACCACTACTTTCCTCTTAACGGAAGTTGGGGCCCACCGCGCCGCCCAGAATACTCTTCCCATTAAAAGCCCCACTGATGCAAACTGGGACCTACTCTCACCTTCCTAGATCTCATATCAGCCGTTAGATCTCACCGACGGCTCAGATTTTTCCATCTTTCTTGAACTATAAATACCATCGTACAACCATATTCCACAGCCTCAGATCGCAAGTATTCAGTTACTCTCGGTCACTCTGTTCTCTGGAATCAAAAGGCTAAATCCAAACATTACAGATTTGGCAATGGAGAAGGTCACAAATTCAAAATCTTCTGATTTCTCTTTTTTATGATCTTTCTTTATGATTGAATCAATACTCTTGAAACTGGAAGTTGAGGCCGTGTTGCTCGGGGTTTTTTTTTTTTTTTTTTTTTTGTTGCAGATGGAGGTTGTGGAGCAGGAAGATCGGAAGCTGAAGCACCTAGGGTTCATGAGGATGGCTGCGATTCAAGCGTTGGTGTGCGTGTCGAATCTGTACGAGTACGCGAAGCAGAACTCGGGGCCTTTGAGATCGACTGTGGGTACTGTTGAGGGTGCTGTCACCACCGTCGTCAGTCCAGTTTACGAGAAACTCAAAGGAGTTCCGGATCATCTCCTTGTTTTCCTTGATGGGAAGGTATGAACTTCTTTCTATCCCTGTTTGGATCAGTAGTTTTTGGAATTTAAGCTTAGTTGTTAATTTCTTGGCCCGGAAATGTTTTACTTCCTTTGGTTTGGTTTCGGTCTTTAATCCATATTTGTGTAGATGTTTGGAAGCTTTAAGCTCATTTGATAAAAGAAAGACCTAATAGCACTTTTCAATTTGTTTGTGGATGAAAGCTGAATTTGGAAATAGTATTTGTCTTTTAAGTATTGTTAATTCCCTGTTCATGGCCTTGGATTGAAATGGAATGGTTCTCTGCTTTTAAGGGCCTTATAGCAGTTTGAAAGTTTAGTAGTTTTGTCCAAACCACTAATAATAGGTGTTTAGTAACTCATTTATTTTGAAATTGTTACAAATGAGGTGATTGGTAACA